GACACAACCCATCCAAATAAATTAAAAAATGACTAATATAGCACTGTGACTCAATTTCTTTCTCATTATCTCCTTTAGTGGTTGACTGTGGTCCAGTGGATGTAGTACTGGGTGAGGTGATTTTTGAGAGCTCTGGAAACAGTACTGTGTTTGGATCCAGAATCCAGTACAGCTGCAGAGACTCTCCCCAGGTCAACAGTGAGTATTTCACTGTCAAACATTGATGCATTTAAGTCGAGTCATATTAGATGTCACTGTGGATTTGACTCTGACTGACCTTACAGACACTTACACCTGTCATCAGAGTGGGGAATGGGTGAGTGAGGACGGGACACCTCTGCCCACTTGTCTACCAGGTATGGTGTGTTACTGAGAGTCACTTATTTTAAAATCACTACTGCATTAATTAATGTCTATTCGGTTTTGTTTAGTTGTTTTATTCGAACTTTTTTAATAATAAAAACATTCAAGAAATAGATAAAGATATGAATCAAAGTAAAATATGACACAACCCATCCAAATAAATTAAAAAATGACTAATATAGCACTGTAACTCAATTTCTTTCTCATTATCTCCTTTAGTGGTTGACTGTGGTCCAGTGGATGTAGTACTGGGTGAGGTGATTTTTGAGAGCTCTGGAAACAGTACTGTGTTTGGATCCAGAATCCAGTACAGCTGCAGAGACTCTCCCCAGGTCAACAGTGAGTATTTCACTGTCAAACATTGATGCATTTAAGTCGAGTCATATTAGATGTCACTGTGGATTTGACTCTGACTGACCTTACAGACACTTACACCTGTCATCAGAGTGGGGAATGGGTGAGTGAGGACGGGACGCCTCTGCCCACTTGTCTACCAGGTATGGTGTGTTACTGAGAGTCACTTATTTTAAAATCACTACTGCATTAATTAATGTCTATTCGGTTTTGTTTAGTTGTTTTATTATAAGTAGGACTTCGTGTTCATAGTTTTGGCATGGTATAACCTGTATTTACTGTAGGAGATTTCGAAAGAACCTTGAGTGCCAATCCGGATTCTCAGCTTCCTGCTCCACTACCAAGCACTCCTCTTGGTAAGACTCAAATTTCAAATGTAATGCTTTGGAAATGTTTTGCAGGACATCAGACCATGACTAAAATAAAAAAAAACTTGCCATTTTGAATCATTCAAAAATCATTACGCAGTTCATAACTGACCTTAATGAACCTCGACTTGACTTGACTGGGAAACATTTTTGTGAGTTACACATTCAGCTTCATGAGACTTCATTCTGTTTACTTACTAATTGTTTGTATGACAACTAAAGATACAAATTCACAACATTGTTTTACATGATATGTATTACATTATATTATATTTTATTTAAATTAAATATATATTATACTGTACACTACTTTTCAAAAGTTTAGGGTCAATAAGATTTAATTTTTTAAAGAATTTAATACTTTTATTTAGCAATAACGTATTAAATTGATGTGACACTAAATACATACACATTTTTACAAAAAATATTTCAAATAAGTTGTGTTCTTTTTTACTTTTTTCATCAAAAAATTCTGAATTTTTTTTACAGTTTCCACAAAGAATATTAATATTAAAATATTAATTGATGTTAGAATGATTTCTGAACAATCATGTGACACTGACTTCTGAAAATTCAGCTTTGCCATGTCAAGAATAAAACTTTAAAATATATATACAGTCAATTCAAATTATTACTGCTTTTTCTTCATTTTTAATCAAGATAATTCTTTCAAAAAGTATAAAAAAATCTTACAGACCCTAAAATTGTAATATTATTTTTTTAACATTGTTTATTGACTTTTTTTCAAACAGGCAGACCAATTCATATTAAATACAACTGAAAAACTTGCTGATTAATACAACTTAAAGTGTGTAAAATATAATAATGATTTATATATCTATATTATAAAAATTTCCCTTCTCCAAAGAACAAAGTAACTATTTTCCTCCAGTGATTCCATAATCTGTCAACTAAAAGAGTAATATGTCTAATAAAAGGTTTACTTGTATTTGTTTCTAAGATTGCTATGCATATCTGTGTTAACTTGCATACGTTTTTGTTTCAGCATGTGGCGAGCAGTCACAGCTCTTTCCAGCCCAGCAGAAGCGAATCGTTGGTGGGAGAACAGCATCCCCCGGTCTGTTCCCCTGGCAGGTTCTGCTCTCAGTAGAGGATGTGTCCCGTGTCCCCAAGGACCGCTGGTTTGGCAGCGGTGCTCTCCTCTCCTCCACTTGGGTTCTCACAGCCGCTCACGTTCTCAGATCTCACCGCCGCGATCTCTCCGTTGTCCCTGTCGCTTCTGAGCACATCCGAGTCCACTTGGGCCTCACAGACGTACGGGATAAGCACCTGGCCACCAACCGGTCTGTAGTGAAAGTCATCCTCCACCCTCAGTTTGATCCTCAAAACTATAACAATGACATTGCTCTGATTAAACTCAGCCAGGAGGTGGTGCCGTCTGCATTAATACGACCCGTATGTCTACCACGGCCTGGTGTAAAAGGTCATGCCCTGATGCCTCTGCCCAAGGGTATAGTGGCTGGTTGGGGCATCAACACAGGCAACGCTTCTGCTTCCACCAGTGGCTTGACCTCAGATTTAGGCACGGTCTCCGAGCTGCTCCAGTATGTGAAACTCCCGGTTGTGCCTCAGGACGAATGTGAAGCTAGTTATGCATCACGCTCCATCAACTACAACATCACCAGCAATATGTTCTGCGCTGGCTTCTACGAGGGCGGTCAGGACACCTGTTTGGGGGACAGTGGGGGAGCGTTTGTCACCCAGGATGCCCGCAGTGGGAGATGGGCGGCACAAGGTCTGGTGTCCTGGGGCGGGCCAGAGGAATGTGGCAGTCAGAGGGTGTATGGGGTGTACACTCGGGTGGCAAACTACGTCCACTGGCTACACAGGCACATGGATGTGGACCGCTCATGGTGAGGAAGTTGGAAAAGTGTAGTGGAGCTGGAAGTCTCTCCTTATTTTCTTATTTTTGTCATCTTATTTTATCATTCTTATTATTTTCCACAAACTAACCCAGATGTGTTCACAATCATAGGCTAGCAGTTTGTGAATGTATTTTTAGTACAGATGGTACGAACTTGCGCTGGCCGCTTTAGTTAACTAGAAAGAACCATATAATACCTGGGTATAGTGGCTGGTTGGGGCATCAACACAGGCAACGCTTCTGCTTCCACCAGTGGCTTGACCTCAGATTTAGGCACGGTCTCCGAGCTGCTCCAGTATGTGAAACTCCCGGTTGTGCCTCAGGACGAATGTGAAGCTAGTTATGCATCACGCTCCATCAACTACAACATCACCAGCAATATGTTCTGCGCTGGCTTCTACGAGGGCGGTCAGGACACCTGTTTGGGGGACAGTGGGGGAGCGTTTGTCACCCAGGATGCCCGCAGTGGGAGATGGGCGGCACAAGGTCTGGTGTCCTGGGGCGGGCCAGAGGAATGTGGCAGTCAGAGGGTGTATGGGGTGTACACTCGGGTGGCAAACTACGTCCACTGGCTACACAGGCACATGGATGTGGACCGCTCATGGTGAGGAAGTTGGAAAAGTGTAGTGGAGCTGGAAGTCTCTCCTTATTTTCTTATTTTTGTCATCTTATTTTATCATTCTTATTATTTTCCACAAACTAACCCAGATGTGTTCACAATCATAGGCTAGCAGTTTGTGAATGTATTTTTAGTACAGATGGTACGAACTTGCGCTGGCCGCTTTAGTTAACTAGAAAGAACCATATATTCATCAAGACAATAACATTTTACGCATCTCATTTTTGGCCCTCTGCTTGGATCCTTCATCCTTTTTCAACATCTGCTGTTGTTTAAAACGTATACTATACCCCTCAGTACTGGTTGAGGTTTTTAGCCTATGAAGACAGCATGTATTTTACACTAGCGTTTAAAAGTTTGGGGTCAGTAAGTGTTTTAAGATTTATTATTTTAAAACAAATTAATACTTTTATTGAGCAAGGATGTATTAAATTGATCAAAAGAGACAGTACATTTCTATTTCCAATAAAAATAAAATGCTCATCAAAAATCCTGAAAAAAAGATCAGTTTCCACAAAAATAGCAAGAAGCACAACCATTTTCAAGATTGATCATAATAATAAATATTTCTTGAGCACCCAAATCAGCATATTTTTAGAATGATTTTTGGAGGATCATGTGACACTGAAGACTGGAGCTGAAAATGTGGCTTCTCTAACACAGGAATAAATTACATTTTAAAATATATTAAAATAAAAAATGGTTATTTTCAATTGTAGTAATACTTCGCATTATTACTTTTTTACTGTATTTTTGCACAAATAAATGCAGCCTGAAAAAGCATATGAAAAACTTCTTTCAAATATAATAAAAAAAGTTTACTACGCCAAGTATTTCAATGACACCATATAGTACATAAGCAAAAGATATAATATACATCTTTATATTTATAATGATATAAATCATTTATACCTAAAGAAATTTGTAATTTTATACACCTACATATCTCAGCACAAATGTTATACTTTTAGAATGGTTACACTCCTATTAAAAACCACTAGACATTTCTATAAAAAATGCACTGAAATTGTTATATTTGCACAAATTGATGTAATATTAAATAAATGTTTTTTAAAAAACCTGGTGCATTACTTGCTGTATTTATATAACGTTGTGTGATAGCTTTATTATTTGTCTGTCAACTTATTACCCATAAATTAAGAGTTCGCTTTCATTGTCCTTCTATTCCCCAAGTAGGCTAAATATTTCCTTGTACAGTAGTGTCTTCACTTACAAAAAATTACAAGGGTAACCAAAAGGATCAACACCAACCAGCCTATCAACAATCATAGACGCGTTCACTAATCAGCACCAGAATTAAGTTGCAATCTCATTTATTCTGCAAATATTTTAGCAGCTTGCATTAATGAATTGAAATAAGACAAGACAGATTGTAGATTTTCATCTGTTTTATTGTCAAGGCTGAACAGCCTCCAGTCAAAGTGAGAAAATGACAATAGTTATGTATATTACAGCAAGCGAGAAGTCGTGAGGCACTGGAGTAAATATTGAGATGTGCAATAACGGAAGCCATGAGCAGATTCCTCTCTGATTGGCTAATGCTTCTGACATCATAAACGGAACTCATTTCATGAAAGCAATACAGTTTAGATGTTGAATTTATATGATGATGAGTCAGAACTGGAAATAAACAGTTTGATCAGATATAAGGTCTAAATCAGAATAGCTCTGGAGCAGATGATTAAAGGTGTGTTGAGAACGCTAAGATCATTCAGTGGTTAGTGAGTAGCCGGCTGGTGTGCTTATCATGCATATCATCTACCTGCGATATTACCCTCTGTGGAACAAAGAACAAACAAAATACACATTCAACATATAAATACAAAATACAACATATTATGCTGAATATCATTTGCAGTATATGCTATTTTCATCTTACAATACATTTAAACAAAAGATTACCGTTGATCTTACTTACCTGTTTGTCGGGGCGTGGTCAGAGGCGGGGTCTATCCTCGGCTGCTGGGAAGACGGCCTACGCCAATCCGGTCAATGGGAATGCTGACTCGTCGCCGCGGCAACTCAACGACCTTCCTGCGGACATAACGCAAAGAAATCAGCCATGTGCTTTAGATAACCGTTTAGTCGCTCACTCACTATCGTGGGTTACTGTTCTTTCCCTTTTCCTTCACATACTGCTGAGTGGCAAAATGTGAGTATCGTTAAGCATACTAACATACGACTCTTAAAGGGATAGTTCACCCGAAAATGAAAATTCTGTCATTAATTACTCACCCTCATGTCGTTTCAAACCTGTAAGACCGTCGTTCATCTTCGGAAAACACAAATTAAGATATTTTTGATGGAATCTGAGAGCTGTCTGACCCTGCATAGACAGCAATGCAACTGAAATGTTCCCAAGTCCAGAGACGTAGCAAGGAGATCTGTAAAATAATCCATGTGACATCAGGGGTTCAACCGTAATTTTACGAAGCTACGAGAACACTTTTTGTGTGCAAAAGAGAAAAAAAAGACTTTATTCAACAATTTGTCTCCTCCGCATCACCCTGTAGCATACGCTGTTTACGTCCAGCGGATACTCTCCAAAATGGCGCTACAGGGTGACGCACAGACGAATTGTTGAATAAAGTCGTTATTTTTTTTTCTTTTGCGCACAAAAATTATTCTCATAGCTTCGTAAAATTACGGTTGAACCCCTGATGTCACATGGATTATTTTACAGATCGACATTAATTACTCACCCTCACAGAAACGACATGAGGGTGAGTAATAAATGACAGAATTTTTGGGTGAACTAACCCTTTAAAGGGATAGTTCACAATTAAATATTCATGAAAAAGCTACGAGAATACTTTTTGTGCGCAAAGAAAACAAAAATAACGACTTTATTCAACAACACGACGACTCTGCGTCACCCTAGAGCCATTTCGGAGAGTATCACAGCGCATGCGCGTGCTTTGATCTGCATGTAAACAACGCATTTGGTTGGTGTTGCTGACCTATAACACATGTGCTGCACCTTGTTTACCTTGAGGAAAGTACGCGCATATGTGATACTCTCCAGAATGGTGTAGGGTGATGCCGAGGAGAATAATTGTTAAATAAAGTAGTTTTTTTTGTTTTCTTTGCACACAAAAAGTATTCTCGTAGCTTCCAAAAATTACAATTGAACCACTGATGTCACATGGACTATTTTGTCTATGTTCTTGGTACCTTTCTGGACCTTGATCGTGGTAGTACCCTTGCTGTCTATGGAGGGTCAGAAAGCTCCTGGACTTCATCAAAAATATTTTAATTTGTGTTTCAAAGATGAACAAAAGTCTTATGGGTTTGGAACGATATGAGGGTGTGTAATTAATGACAGAATTTTTGGGTGAACTATCGCTTTAAGAGCTGGCACTTCCATTTGTAACTTGAATGTGGCTTCCAGTGTTATTTCACTTCCAGTTATTTTTAGCTGTACAAAACAACTCATTGTGCTGCTTGATATTGCAAACTGATATTTCTCATCATATTATTTTAATTATATAATTATAAACACACTGTTTTGTAGCGCAAATAGTTTTACCATTAACTGTGCTTTGTTATTCTTCTAGTTATTTATCAATACCCAAGAATCCTAATGAAGTCTCACATTTACATAAAATAGCTTACTTGCATGTTGCAATATAAGGTGGATAGAATGTACACTTAGTACATGTTACAAAAGTTCTGTACACATAGAATACCTGGAATGACCAACTAACATTTGCTAAAATGTATATTACAGAGAATACTGTATGAAAGACTATATCTCACAAAGCATGGACAACTTGCAATGCACTTAACTTGACCTTTCATTTCCAAAGTGATGAATCAACCAAATTTTTGGCATGATGTTTGATTTCTTTTTTCATCATTATTTCATATGAGTGACAATTAATAAAATAAAAAGATACACATTTTTAAACAACAATAATGAATGGATGACATACAACATAAGGTCAGTGATGCCACTTTAACATATAGTAACACATAAAAATATGTCCCAATGTACCGTTAATATGAAGACATTTTCCATATTGATTTTTTTTTTTTTTTTTACAGGTTTTAGGGTTGAAGGAAATGTCCAGAAATGTAACAAAAAAATTACTGGTAATTTCTAATATATGTTTTTTTCTTATCCTGCAGGTTTTTTGGTAAATTGAGTGTATACTGAAGTATTTATTGAGTAGGAGGCCAGTTTTCCAGTGCTACTAGTAATAGTCTATTAGTATTGCAACCTAGGGTCAGAGTTTTGTTTTTAAATCCACATTTGTTCTATGGCCATGTCTCGATTTTTGTCTGGAAAACTCAAGATTTGGAAGAAGATCTGAAAGATTTCTTGAGAAAATGTAGAAGTCTAGTAACAGGTGAATAACAAGGTGAATATATTTACTGAGGATCCATGGAACAGTCACATAACTACGCAGTGGTTTTCGTGAGCTTTCATGTGTTTATCAGGCTCATGACAGATGGATTCATGTGTTGAGATTTGATAATGCATGGCGTGGTGCTTTCGCTGCTGTTCTTGGCTTCTGTCCTGATCTTATCAAGTGCTGAGGATCATTTAGATACAGCCTTGTCAGAGCCTCAGGCCATGCTGAGTTACACTGCATGTCCCGTCCAGCAGGGAGATCAAATCATTCACAGAGATAAAACAGTTTTGATCATTGACTGGAAGTCCGATGCTACAGTCATCAGCACAGTTGGACTGTCCGTTCCCGTAAATCAGCATCAGACACTTCTTATGTCACACAAAACCTCTATCCACACCACAGTGACTCCACCCAAGAAAAAGAAGTAACTTTAACCAGTGGGACTACAGACAAAGCATTTATTGCACTTAGTGAACTGTAAAAGCACAAACAGGCTCATACAAAGCTATCAAGCTGTGCATGACAGATTTCAGCCAATAAAAACTGTACTTTGACGAGCCATGGCCAGTCAAAGCTATGGTTCATTATCTGTTTGGGTTCATTCTAATTTACATTATTTCACAGGCTAGAATAATTTTTCCTTCTGTTTCCAAACTAAAAGAAGAGTGTTTCCTTTTTCTCATTTCTTACCTCTGCTTGTTGCTTTTGGGATCCATGGTGCTGATTGACAGGCGGTCAAGAGGCGTGTTGGATCCAGGGAAGCTGCGTTTCCTCTTGGTCTCAATGACATCGTTCTCCAGTCGGACCAGCTGGTCGTGCAGGAGGATTTTAGCATTCACGACTCCTGAGGTCTTCTGCTCGGTCTGGCCTTGCTGGACACTGCGGCCCTCCACGACAGATGGTTCCACATACTAGATTGGAAATAAATGGAAATGCATGGTGTAATGCAAATTATGTTTCAATCAGTTACACCAGTTTTCAAATTTGTCAGAAAATTCAGTCTTCCTAAAAAAAAAATCTTCATTCTCTCTAATGGACAATTCATCATCAAAGCACCATTTTAAGGCGGTAGACTGGTTTTACATGGGTTCTAGCTGGACCAAGCTAGATATTTATGGTCCCAAGTTCACTGGGTCCAGCTGATAGATATGGTTCCGACCTTTATCAAGCAAGTTATAGCTGGTCGACCCCCTTGGGCTTGCAAAAAACAGCAGCTTGATCACCCCAGAGAGACCAACTCAAGACCATTTAAAATGCAATAATAAAGTTGGTTTATTTCCTATGAAGAAACAGGAAGAGTGACAGACTGGGTGACCCAGTGGGTCAGTTCTCAGACAGGTAGCTCATGTTCATAAGGAGAGGGTGATGGTTGCCTCCTGCAGAGGCTCTCAAGGGGAATCCCCACTGTATTTATAGAACACTCAGACAGATGACAGTTTATCTCTCACATGCACCAGTTAGTCTTATCATGTACATTAAGTTAAGTACACAAATATTTTTGTGTTTCTGAGGACCGGCAGAGTGAACTTCCTCACAAAATGCATAATATAATATTATTTTCTCTCTCTCTCATATACAGTTTGTATATATTTATATATCAGCGAGACCTGGACTCACCTCTGATCTTTCTTGGGGTACATGAAGACTTTCCACACTGCAGTGGAACAAGGTCAATGTCAGCAGACCAGAGAGCAGCACACATCCACAACCCAGCATCTACAATACAATTACAATACAATTAACAATGTGATTATTGACAATCGAATAGCCTATTATAAAAAAAACATCAAAAAGTTTGGGGTCTTGGAGTTTCTTATGCTCAGCAAGGCTGCTTTTATTTGATCGAAAATGCAGTAAACGGTAATACTGTGAAATATTATTTAAATTTAAAATAGCTGTTTTCTATTTTAACATATTTTAAAATGTAATTTATTCCTGTGCTAGTAAAGCAACATTTTTGGCAGCCATTACTCTAGTCTTCAGGTGTCACATGATCCTTCAGAAGTCATTCTACTATGCCGATTTGCAGCTCAAGAAATATTATTATTATCATCATTTTTATTTTATTTGTATTTATTTTTTTGTGGAAATTATGATAATTATTTTTTACAGGAATCACTTTTGATCAGTTTTAATGCATCTTTGTTGATGAAATTGAATTTCTTAAAAAAGGTAGTATATATATATATATAAATATATATATATATATATATATATATACAGCAACATAATTTCAGTGATTACAGTTTTTATGTCTCTGTGTCAGTGCATTGTCAATTGAGCGTGCGCACACACACTTCAGCTTCAGCACCGTGTTGAATTACTGTGATACAGGGCGGTGTTTACGTTCATCCAGACTCCATCTGTGAAAATACACTCTGACTGGGCGGTCCGGCAGCCGCGAGAGTGTGAGAATGCTTCTAACACACACCCTCTACACAAACACATGAACTCAGCCCAAACACACACTCTGACCTGCACCCCTACTTGTGTGTCCCCAAAACACACTCTTAACCACACTCACACAAAAACATCCTCACAGCGGGACTGCACGTTACTGTAGTTTCGTATCACTTGCGTAAACGTTTTATAGTGATGATCAATTTATTTACAGTAAATATTTTATGAGAACACTATTGCCTTAGCTCTTTCACTTTTTTGATTTCTAAAACCACCTTATTTAGATTATGATGCAGCACTGAATCTTACTTTTTGACTGCTGTCTGCTGGCAGATGTGTTAATTGCAACTGTAACAATGACATTCATCTTGATATTTGTGAAAATTCCTTTAAACATTATTTATTTTTGAATTACTTATGTATATATATATATATATATATATATGAAATAAATGCAAAATCCAGTGACTAGTAAAAACCCCTACCACATCTAATAAAAGGCTACAGATAGATAGTTAGATAGATAGATATACAAAGCTAAGATAGACAAAAATCCAAACAAATCTAAATGTAGCATTTGAGAAATTCTGACCTTGAATCATGTAATCCATGATTTGCATAACCCATTATTAGTTTTGTCCTTTTATTAATTGTTCATTTAAATGTTTAATGTTGTGTAACTAATTTTTCTCACCTAATATGAACACCTGCTACAGTATTTCTCCTATAAATCTTTCAAAACTCTTTTGCAGGATTGCAGAGTATCTTTAAAAAAACTGCCCAGTAATGCATTTTCACCTATCATTTGACCCAGAGTGTACCGTCCTTGGCATTCGAGATGCAGCCTCTCTCCCACCCCACGAATGGGGAAATGCATTGTCCAGCAACATGGGCTAACTTTAGCATTTTCCGTCCCCAAAAATAAACAACTCCAGCCATCTCCCATTGCCCACACACACTTTACTGGACACCCTGCATGTACACACACACACACTTGCTCTCTCAAAGACACTCTCAACGGTTCTCTGATACCAGACATGATTTCACACCTCTGTGTCACTATTGCAGTAATGCAACATCAACAGGATGTTTCCGATACTGGTTCATCCGTAACCCTGGAGCTCAAACAAATTCACAGTTGCTTATCAAACAGCAGATTCTGTACCAACTAACCAGCATTATTCTACTGCGACTCCTAACAAACGTCTTCAAATACACCTGTCTGCTCACCTTTCCACCCAAACACACACACACACACACACACACACTTACACAGCCCTGTAGGAACATGCAGGTTGGTCTTTCTCCAAGGCTTCTTACCCTTAATCTGATTTGGTTTCAGTCACACGGGGATGGACAGATGGACACTGTGCAGTTCCTGGAATTTCTCACGTTCTCTGCGTTTGCTGGTTCCTGCTGTTGTCTTTCCCGGTTTTATAGGCTCTCGCCGGGAATCTCCACTCCAATCGGTGGTCGCGATTGCTCTGACATCATTTCTGCAGGTTTTCCACTGTGGCTCGCCCTGAAGCCGCTCTCCCCTACTCTCTCATCCTCATTACGATTACAAACTAATAGCAACCCGAGGGAGCAGCTGGACACGTTTGAATGTGCGTGTCACTTCTGTCTCTTTCTGCACTTCTTTCTTGGCCAAGAGTGCCTAGAAGGTCATCTTCTAACTGAGAACCTGCTGTGTTTCCACAAGATTGAGAGAGTGTGTGTGTCGGAGAACTTTGTGTGTAGGTGGTCTATCTCTCTCTGGCATGCAATGCTATCTCTTGTGTATAAACTACACTGTATCTGGCCACATGAGTGTGTGTACTGATGGTCGTTGATGACCTGCATCTTGTAATTCACTCAACTTTTCTCTCGGTCTGAGAAAGTTAGTGGTGTTAGGTCGTGAAGAGTTCCCTAGCAGACTGCCTGTTCTCACACTATATTTATCTGCACACACAGTGCTCATCTCTCTTTACTCCCACTGTTAAATAAAGAGCAGACCGGGCAGGCCTGTCTACCACACCAAAATTTCCACAGAGACCCTATGATGATCCCTCTCCCTCTCTCTTTCTCACTCGCTCCCTCACTAAGATGTTTTGGAAAATCAGAGGACACCAAAGAAGGGAAGCCAGGAGACGTGCATGTGTGCGTGTACAGATACAATTAGTGTCTTTGTCTGTACCAGAGAAAAATTGTAGACTCTTTCATCGCTCAAGAGACTCAATGGGGTTCACAGTTAAGCGTGTTACTCCAACAATTCCTTAGGAGAAATAAAAATAGACAAAAACGTTAATTAGACAATAGATGAATAGACAACAGTTATCATTCAACAGCAACTGACGACATACAGTAAGATTAGAGCGCTAAAATGGGGTTTACATAGCTCAGATTACTTGGTCTTGGTATAATTCGATAAAAAATTATTGAGTTATACTGAAATCTCTTACTTTTGACTTTGAAATCTTGGAAAATCTGATTGAAAAGTGCTTGAGTTCATACTGAAATCTTTGATGTTTGATTGCAGACTTTAAAATCTTGGAAAATCCAATCATTGTTTGAGACTTCAAACTCAGATCACTTTTGAAAATCTGAAGGAAACGTGAGATTATAGGGTCTTTCCTCAGAAGAAAAATCTGAGAAGCAGGAGACTTAAAGATGCAATGTAAAGGAAGTAGCAACAGGTCTCTCGTTCCATATTATGTCACCCAAAATGGATTATCAAAAATGAAAAATAAATTATAGTGGTTGATAATTGCATTGAGGCAGATCTAAATGCGATCTTAAAGGGGTCATATGTTGTTGCTAAAAAGAACATGATTTTGTGTATTTGGTGTAATGAAATGTGTTTATGCGGTTTAAGGTTCAAAAAACATTATTTTCCACATACTGTACATTCTTGTTTCTCCTCTATGCCCCGACTTTCTGAAACGCGTCGATTTTTACAAAACTCATCGGTCTGAAAAGCGAGGTGTGCTGTGATTGGCCAGCTATCCAGTGCATTGTGATTGGCCGAATACCTCAAGCGTGTGACAGAAATGTTATGTCCCTTACCATATTGTGATGCCATGTCCCGGCCAGAGCGACGAGACAAAAACATTAAAACCCATTATAAACGAGGCATTTGTTGCATCCAGTGGGGACATAATTACGGATTATAATGAATAAGTCAAAAACTGTCTTTTTACGTGTTGCGCTGCGTTGCATTGCGTTGCGTTGCATTGCGTTGCATCGCATCGCGTAAACATAAAACCATGTCTGCATTTGTGATCGGAGAAATTACAAACAACAAGCGCTACTCTACACTGCTCAAAACTCGCGTTTGAATCATCAGTGGCAAATCCTTTAAATATGAAAACGTACTTACAGTCTGTGAGTCAGAACAGCTGGCATTGTAGTCTACTCTACCAGGATCAGGAAACAGTCCTTCATAAAATGCGTTGCACACATTTGAATATTTGGGTTGAACTGTTCTGGAACAGTGTAGTAAATAGAACTTAACCACTGATTTCTAGTCGTTTGGAAGACCTACCAAAGTAGTTTCGCTTTCACAACGAAACACACAGCGTCACACACGGCGGGCTTGAGTGAGCAGCGGCGGGCGGGCTAGAGTGGAGTGGAGGCCGGCTTGAGTGAGGCTTGTGGCAACCACATGTGATGATCCCGGGCTGGACTCCGCTTCGTCCACAGTGAAAGCCGATCCAGCGATCGTTGATGTTGATGTATTTCCTCAGCGACCAGCAAGGATCAGCTCTAGGCACGACGAAGCAGATATCGTCCTCTTTTGGAAGGCCAAACAAACCAAACACAACGAAACACACAGCGCCTTCACGACATGGCGGCGGCGTGCAATACTACAGCGAGAATAAAAGTTACGCCTTCTTTCTTTGCGTGAACATTTGGGCGGCGTTATGTAAATCTTCCCACATTGT